TGCAACCGCCGCAGTGGTGCCGATATGCCATTCCCTATGCATCCCGACAGCGGCCGTGACGCCCTGTCCCATTCTGACGGCAGCGCTCTCTCTCCTTCTCCTTCGGCGGTGCTTTTCTCCTCGCATATGGATTCTGCCACGATTCCCTCCCTTCCTCCTCAATGGTGGCGGTGGCAGCAAACCTCCTCCCCTCTCCCACCGATGGTGGCGCGGCGGGCACCCTCCCCACGCGGATCTAGATCCAGTTCTCATGGCGCCTCAAGGGGCCTATGGCGGGGCGTGAAGCGCGGCTGTGATGCACTCGATGGCATCGCGCCCCCCCCTAGCCGATCGCTCCATGCCACCGGCGAGGTATACACTAATGAACTTCAAATGTCGACAAACCTCCATTTCTCCCAAGTAGCAAAGAGATGTTGCGCTGAAAGTGCATATTGCAAGTGTACATTTCAAATATTTCAGATGTTTCAGAGGCACGTTGCAATTGTTTCATGCGGATGTTGCAAAATCATATCGAGATGTTGCATATGTTGTAATAGTTGTACATGTATGTTGCAATCTTCTATTCCCTATGTTTTATCTATTTTTTAGACATATATTGCAAGTGTGTTTATCCGGATGTTGCATACGTTTCACACATATGTTGCAAATATTTTATGTGGATGTTGAGTATATTTTGCGTTTTGCAATGTTTTTCAAGTGTTTTTAGGTGCTTTTGCAAGTGTTTTAGAAGTATGTTTTAAGTGTTTCATCTGTCTTCAGACGTATGTTGCAAATGTTGCATCTTGATATTTCAAAAGTAGATTGGGTGTTGCATATAGGGACGCGTGCATGGGAAGCGGAGGGGGCATGAGCGGTCCCCGCGCATAGTCTGGCAGCGCGGGAGACGTCCGGGGGCACGCTGGCGGAGACGTGCTGGAGCGAGCGAGTGCGGCGCGCAGGAGACGGAGTGCAACGCGGACGTCCGTCCGGACATCTGGTCGCTAGCACTTCCTTGTAAATAAATGGGACTACCTTCTAAAATTAATTTTGTACTAGTGACGTTATAAAAAATCCTCCAAAATAATGCACCAGGTGATCAGAAAATGCACATGCGGATCATTTTTTTTTTTTCTCTTGAAGATTCACATGCTGATCATCATTCACCAGATCATCCTGTGATCGGCACACGGCCGATATATGGTCTTGGGCCATTATGCTGCGACCCATTCGCCTCCTGCCGTCCTACGTATTTCTTGTTGGGCTTTGATCATTCTCATCCTTTGCCGCTGTGTCTCAACAGAGTTCCGCACAAACGTCCACCATTTCAGAAGCATCCCAGTGTCGCTCCTTCCCGCCATCCGGCTTGACCCTTGGTATGTGAAAGGAAAGGAGGGAAGCATTTTGACAGGTTGTGCAAGCTGTAAGGTCTCGTTTTTAGTTCCAAAAATCGGTGGTGGTCCTTGTGGGATCTTTGGGATACAACTCCGTTGCACAAAAAAGTAGGGACCTGACGATGATCCACAGCTAAGGAAACCCTTGAAACAAGATGGTCGGTTCCAGCTGACGATGCCGTCCATGAAAATGTACATACACTCGTACACTCCTATCAGTATTCATGAAACCGAAGCGTTGTTTATTTTATGGACCTCAGCTGTTACATCGATGCAAGATATGCCTGAGACTAGGAAGAAAGGGATGTAGCAACAACCACAAAGGCGAGCTTAGCTTCACCTTTTGGAAGCACTGCACTTTCGTTTTTCTGCTATCACGGTCGCTAGCTGCGTCTGGCCACCAAGATCTTGTTGATATATATGGATGGCATGATGGGGAGACTGTAGAGTAGCACGATGATTCTTTGTATGCCCACTCATACACTGTATCAAAATTGAATGCTTCCTTGGTGGAGATGAATTCGTAAGAGGCTAGCTGCATGGAACCGATTCCTCTACTTTCTAGCAGTACGTCTTCTCTAGAGGATGTGGGCATGCACGTAGTGGAAGATTGAAGGTTGTGTCACCGTGTAGGATGACTGCAAGCGATGTGAAACAAATTTTGATGACGTGGCAGCATGAGGAGTTAGAGAAATACTGTTTCGTAGATCAATTGAAATAGATGTCACTACTATGACATTGATTTTTTGGAGATGGGCAAAAATCATTTTCAAATACGGTTTTTTCGCTGGCCTTTGTATGAAAGTCTGAAAGGGCAAGTAAACGCCTCTGTAAACAATTTTCAGAGTGGGCCTTCTAAGTTTATCCAGTCTCTTCATAAAAAAGTGCTAAAATAGTAAAAAAAAATTATCCTGGGACAAGCCAACTAGCTATTCACAACGGTCACACCATTTTTTCGCTAACGTGTCATAAGACTCAGAACATGAGACCTCTATACGTGTGTGTGTGTGTGTGTATATATATATATATATATATATATATATATATATATATATATATATATATATATATATATATATATATATATATATATATAGTTAAATGCACCAGAGGTCCATTAACTTGTGAGGAGATTTCGGTTAGGTCCATCAACTTCCAAAGTGACTTTTTGGGTCCATAAACTTTGTACGCCGTATCACTTAGGTTCATACCTCTCTACGTTGGCTTCTCGTGTTATTGTGGCATGATGTCGTGGCCATGCGGGCGTGCAGGTGGCTTCGCTCATAGAGGCTCGTGTGCGGAACCGCTTCCCCGCCATGGGGTCCCGAAACATGCACGTAGTGCCTGTGGAGGCTGGAAATCGTCTCGGCGCGCAGATTGAAGCAGCAGCAGCGGCTACCGGGCGCGGCTGTGTCACCGTGTGTGCGCTTCGGTGCGTGACTGCGTCGTGATGGTGAAGGAGTTGGTGATGAGGCGCGTGCCACAAGCGCGATCGCCGAACGTCGAGGAGCACCAGTTGTCGTCACGACGGCCATGACCACGGACCGCCATGGTGCCCACAGACCACACGCGGCGCGCCACCGGGGCGGAGCGGAGCACGAGGTTGCCCGCGCCGTGAGCCCCGCGGCCGCGCTTCTCCCGACGACGCCCTCCCGGCAGGCTGGCGCGCGGTTGGCGGACTGCACCACCTACGGATGCCCGCCAGATGAATACTGTTGCGGTAGATCATATATGTGGACAGCATGCCCCCTTCCGTCTTCCGCGCCTCGTCCTCGGCCGCCAAAAAGCGGTGGCGTTGAAGCACTAGGGTGAAGAAGCATTGATTTTTGGAGATGGGAGGCCAAAATCATTTTCAAATACGGCGAGAGGCGCTGGCCTTTTGTTCCGCGAGGGTGTGCAGGCCAAGAGGGCGCTTACGACGTGCTCGAAAGTCTGAAAAATGGACAAGTAAACGCCTGTAGCAGTGCAGTGCACAATTTTCAGAGTGGGCCCGCCATGACTTTGGTGCGAGGAGGCGGCGCCATGCCGCGACGGCGCGCTACTACTACGCCGTCCGTCCGGCCCCCGTGCGTTCGCGGCCGTGCCCGCGAGCCTTCCCATCATGGCGCCGCTCCGACAGTCTCTTCATAAAAAAAAATTGCTGTCGGCCAATGGTTCACTGGCGGTACCACCCAAAGTAATGGATGGACGCGTGCCTCGACATCTACGGGACTTCTCCGGCCGCCGCGCTCGCCGGGGACCCCTTTTATCCCTCGCTTCCCGGACTAGGAGACGACGACAAGCCGAGGTCGGAGAACTTGCTGCTGCCGACAAGGCGGCGCGGCGCCAGTAACTAGCTATTCACAACGGTCACACCATTTTCACTAACGTGTGTTCCATAAGACTCAGAACATGACTAACGAAGTGTCGCGACTCCGGCGACGCCGAGCGTTAAGTGCCGGCGACGGTGGCGGCGAGTTCCATAAGACTCGTCGGTGATCGCCGACGGCGGCGAACATCAAGACCTCGAGGCATCGAGCAAGCTTTTGTTGGAGTTATGCTGGCGGCCGCCACGAAGGAGGGATGAAGCCATCCCACGGCATCATGCCACATCAACACGCTATATGGACTAATTGTATGGACCAAAAAACATCTACGTCCTCACAAGTTATATATATTTAACTCTAGATAAAATAACAATGGCACATGTGGTTAACAAAGAATCAAGCATATATGGTGTTTCTAGCTATTTTCCTTAATTACAGTGGCGGGTAATTTATAAACAGGCACTAGTATTTTATTTTTATAATAATAACAAAATCTATATAGTAAGATGTATGTTAAGTAAAATGTAATTATGAAATAGGAAGTCTTTCTATTTCTTCGTAAAGTCCATTTTTCAATCTTAGATTGCAAAAGGACCACCCCTTATGGGCCTTTGGATACGAAGATTTCTGACATCTTAGTCTCATAGTTTAAAATTTCGGAATCGATTTAAATTAATAAAAAAATAAGGAAACACTACCCAATCAATATTGGTGGCTGTTTGGGCCGCTGCCCACAAAACAAACCCTAGTCTGAGGGTAGAAGAGCGGGGTTTATTTTTTTTTGGATTAGCATGGTAACTTTTGAGATTGTGAGAATGAAAATAGAGACTTGTTTTGTTCACCAAATAGTAAGAATAAATAGATTTGGCCTAGTCGGGAGCATATCGCTATCTTCGTAAAAAAAGTGTATTGCGTCCTATCCATCGCCCATCGATAATCCCGATCAATCTAACAATGCAGAGCAAGACGAGGCCTTTTGTTCATCAAAGCTGGTCCCATTTGTTCATCCTGGACCATGCATTCACAGCTGGCAACGCTTGTCCACTGGCTCCTCTCGTCCAAAATCCTCTTAACAGCGCCATGCCCGTGTACCTGACGAACACTAGCCGCATGCCTCTCATCCCAATCCCAACTTCACTCACGTTAACAGCTGTTAACGTACCCTGTCATTTTTTTCTCTCTACGTGCATATACATGTACAGCTACCACATACAGTACGCCCTTCTTATTCCTATATAAAGAGGCCCTAGCTAGCTTCAAGCCTAGAATGCAACACACACTCAGATAAAGCTATCTTGAGCTAGCTGCTCTAACGCGCGTTGTCATGGCCAGGACGGTGTTGCTCCCCGTGCTCCTCCTCTCCTTCTTCCTCCTGCCGCTGGCCTCCCTCGCGCTGACGCAGGACTTCTGCGTCGCCGATCCTGACCTGCAGCGACACGCCGGCCGGGTACCCGTGCAAGTCCAGCGTCACCGCCAACGACTTCTACTACCACGGCCTGGCCGGGCAGGGCAAAATCAACCCGCTCATCAAGGCCGCCGTGACGCCGGCCTTCGTCGGCCAGTTCCCGGGCGTCAACGGGCTCGGCATCTCCGCGGCCAGGCTCGACATCGAGGTGGGCGGCGTGGTGCCGCTGCACACCCACCCGGCGGGCTCCGAGCTCCTCTTCGTGACCCAGGGCACCGTCGCCGCCGGCTTCATCAGCTCCGGCTCCAACACCGTCTACACCAAGACGCTGTACGCCGGCGACATCATGGTGTTCCCGCAGGGCCTGCTCCACTACCAGTACAACGCCGGCACCGGCCCCGCCGTCGGCCTCGTCGCCTTCAGCAGCTCCAACCCCGGCCTGCAGATCACCGACTTTGCGCTCTTTGCCAACAATCTCCCATCCGCCGTGGTGGAGAAGGTCACCTTCTTGGACGATGCGCAGGTCAAGAAGCTCAAGAGCGTGCTCGGCGGCAGCGGTTAAGCTGTTCTTCTCGACAATACAGTGCAAGCTGGGTATGGTCGTCGTCGTCTTGGTCCGTCGTCATCGAATGAAACGTGTGTCTGTTGCATGCATGCGTGCACCTGTCGTCGTCTTGTCAAAGTAGTCGTGGTCTATTTCATCTTACCCTTTTTTATTCATGTATGTACTTTTCATTCAAGGATGTATTCAGTTTCATTGCAATTTGTTGCAAGGGAAGAGTAAAATGTGCATCTGATTGGTTCAAATTTTTAGCTTGTGTGGTCGTAGTCATTTGTATTAGCTATATGACTGCTCATTTGGTTCATTAAGCTTTTACATTTCACTGTGTGTCCAGTGCTTTATATGTACACACCTCTTTGTAGATGCCGCAATTAATCGGTTCATTTAAATCCTACTATTGAAATACGTACATATGTCATCTCACACCTAGTGAAACTGTTTTAATGAACCAGTATCAACAACAAAATGGACGGTGTCACCATCAACGCTACCTAGATTGTTGATACTAGCTAATTAGAACAGTTTCATTATCTGAGGGAGAAGAAGAAGAGCTAGACGATGAGTATGAAGAGGCCTCAATCCACAAGTGGAAATACCGAAACTCAGAGGCCCAATGCCTGTTTCACGAGGCCCAACGGTTTAGCCCATGTAAGGCCTTTCTATATGTGGTCCATCTATGCTTTTGGTGCATAGGTGGCTTATATCACTCCATGTATGGAGAATGAGTATATAGTGTTGGATGATACATTGAACCGACCGAGCTCGATGCAAGCAAAGGAGGAGATGGATGCGGATAGGCTACAAAACTATCCAATTCCATCCACTTTGTCGCTATACATGTTCGATCTTGGTCGGTAAGTAACAACTGGTATCAAAGCAACACTTTATCATGACGACGGAGACTCGGTCTAGGTCAATCATCACCATGTTGAGCAAGAACAACAAGAGCCTCACCGAGTTTGAAGGAGTCCATGGCCAAGATGAGGACATTGAAGGCAAACTTCAAAGCCTAGAAGCCATGTGTCGACCATTGAGTTTTGGATTTGGAGCATGCCAAGTTGTTGATGGTCATTAACCTCCAAATTCGACCATCATCTCCTGCATAAAATGACAACAATGATCCACAAACCAGTCATAGGATTTATTTCTAACCAACTCAACAAGTTTTGGTGACTATGTGTATGCAAAGATCACCTACCAAAATTGGGCTTATTTGGACCCCCAAATGGGGGTCCTCGGGCGACCCCCGTGGTCGGCCGACCGTGGGTCTTCCCCATTTTGGTCCACCAAACTCCCACATGCAAGGAAACACCCCTCCCCCCAAGTGTTCTAGACCATGGATTCCACAAAGAAACACACTTGGGATGATCAAAGGGCTCACAAGGAAAGTGCATGGATCCAAGGACCCACTTGACATAAGAAATGTTGTTCTAATGATGCAACTCACACACCATAGAAGTTACCCACCGAGGACAAATGCACACGCAAAAGTCAGAGGTCGAAGGTGTCAGTGATGGGTTGAGCGACCGGGTAGGTCGGCCGACCATCACATGGCTCCAAACCACCTCAAACTCCTCGGATACCTTCTTACCGACTCTAGGAGTGAATCTCAACCGATGCCACACCATCGGTGGATCTGACGGTCAGCCAATGGGTAGGGTTGTCCGATCCCACTTTGGCTCTAAACCACCTCATCTTCGACTACAAGTACCCCCTAGTGTCCTAAGGCTATAAATAGTGGTGCTTGGCTCACTTTGAATTTTGAAAGCACACAAAGGCGATACACACATTCCAAGCTAAAGGTGAAGCCCTACCAAAGTGTAGAAAATAGGGAGAAAGTGAGGGAGAGTCTAGAGGAGTGTTGATGGCTCAGCACCTCCTCCAACTAGTACCTTGGCGGATGCGAGCTTCCTTCTTGTGAGCAAACATCTGGGATTCTTATTGGTATATGGTATTTGAGTAAGTAATAAGTTACTTTACCGTTCATGGTACACCTAAGAAAAAGTCGAGTCGGGTCGGGTTTAGGATGGGCCTGCAATAAGGGCAATGGGTAGGTTTGTGGCTCGCATTTTTGGCTAGGCTGCTCACAATTTTGTAGTGTGAAAATAAAGGAAATTAATGTTACGGGTCGGGCTTGGGCCGAGAAAAAAAATTCTAGGCAGCGGGATCTCACATTGCACCCTACACTATCCACCCATCAACTCTAGGGTTTGGGACTTGAGAGTAGTGGCCGTCAAGAGACCGGGGTCCAGGAGTCTCAAGTCGGGTATTGCCAAATGAGAGGAAGTGAGAAAATAAAGAAGGGTCGTGACTCTTGGATATTGGGCCTTTTATGTTGGGCTACTGGACTTTTCAGTCACTTATTGAAGCCCACTGGCCAACGGCCCAAGCTGTGAGTTTCACATCGTCTTCAACCTTCCAATAGATCCAACCCCTCCTACAAGCGCATCAGTGGAGTTCAACCACTCCTTTCCGCTACATACATGGAGGAAGGGGGGCTTCACGTTAGACGTTACCAGCGGTGGTAGGGGGTTGAAGCCCCACCCGCCCACCATTGGATCCACCACCAGGAACAGGATACCTAAATTTGGCGTCAAGTCATGTAGGAGGTTTTCAACGGGGGAGCAGGGAGGGAGGCCAAAGCATATGGTGGTGCTGGTGAGCTGGTACCTCAACAATGGTCTGAAGGGGGCATGTGGTGCTCGAAAGCGTAGTGCCTATTTATTGGTGAATTTGGTTTTCTATGGCCTTGCGAAAATAGTGAGATTGAAGTGCCCAGTGACAAAATAATTTTGTCACCACCATCAGGACAGAAAGCTGAAGACGTGAGTCGCGCGAGAGAGCATGAAGGAGGCCTGAACAAGGCCGTGATGTTCCGACTGTAAATGGGCCATGGGCTGTTGAATATAAGGACATGGGCCATGGGCTGTTGATAAGTTAAAAAGTGTGACTGGCAAGTATATAAGCCTGGCGTTGACCTCTTTTAAAACTTATAAGTCAGTGAGGTCAGAGCTCTCTTGATTTTATTCAGGCTCTGCCGATGTAACTCCTTCCATTATTATGCTCACTATATGCTCTTCAGAAAACCAAATTTCCGTATGTAACTCCTTCCATTATTATGGATACAATGGGATCGGACTTTGACTATTTGTACCTCCCTTCGACTGGCGTGATTGGTGGTATACTAATCTCTTGGCGTACGTCTGTTTGCTCGATCACGTCATCAGTCTTACAGGAGTTCTTACTTTTTGTTAAGGTCGCTTTGATCGGGTCTCCCCTCGACTGAACACGATTTCAAACCGGGCTAGATGTTGGCGCATGCTCTATTTCCCTCTTCTTGTTTATTTAAGTCTTTTAACGTGACTAGGTGTGTGAGGGGGACAATCAAATCTTGTTGATTTACTTAAACAAGTTCATTTTATTTTACAGCTCGTTGGTCAAAATGAATGCATTCAATATAAATGTACTCCCTCCATTATAAATTGTAAGTCATTTTGACTTTTTTAGTATAATAACTTTTACAATATATCTAAATATATGTTATGTCTAGATGCATAGCAAATAGCTATGTGTTTAGAAAAGACAGAACAACTTACAATTTAAAATGAAAGAAGTAAGTTATATTTTGGGAAAGCTTTTAAAACATGTTTAGATGTCCATGAGAACATTTTGGGAATTTTTCATCTTTTTCTATTCTCATTTTCCTGGAGCTGAGTCTAATTTCTAGACGTGTCTAGATATATTTTTACAAGATTAAATGTTTTATTTGGGTTTCTCTTGTCTTAATCTAACTCTAGAATTTTCTTTCTAAAATTTTTAAAATCTCAGATTTTTTCTGTGATTTGAAAACTTTATTAGATGTTTTATGTATTTTTTTAATAAAAAAGTAAACTATCTTATAATATGATAGGGATGTAATTTAAATGATTTTGAGAGTCGAGGAGTTTATCCGATAAGGAGGCAAAAAAAAAGTGAGGTTGTTTTTGCTGATGGGGTATTCGGACTCTGGTCTGGAGTCTGGAGGCAGGCTTCCCGTCTAGCAGGCCTGGTCAGACTAGATGTCGGTGAGCTAGACATCGACTATGAAATATGAATAAATTTGAATAATATCAGCTTACATCAACAGCAACATTGATGCAGCAGTCTCCTTCATGGTACCTTGATGGAACTACTGCAGATCACCTAACATCAGCACTATCTTATATACAACGCCAACGGGTCGAAGGTGATTGTCTACTCAAGAACAACAGGCAGACACCAAATAAAAGTATATCCATCAGAAAATGGTGTCTACTGTCAGCCTCCGCTTGGGAGGTGACTTCTCGATTATCTGCTTCTGCAAGTCCATGAAGCTGATTCCCTTGTTCGCAAACAATCTTCTGAGGTTGATCACTGAGAGCTCGCTGTACTTTGCAATGGCAAGGTCGGCCTGTACTAACTCATACCTGCAAGTGATTAGACAGTGTCAGCTAAAAATGTGAGGATCGGGGAGACGAGAGTTTCAACAAACAGATCCATACGCTGGATGAGCACCAATCAATGCAGCTGCCATCATAGTACAGTTGTGGGCCGCTGTGACGCCCCTTGGGTCGTCCTCGAACACCACACACTTTGAGGGTTTACGATCCAACTGTGGGGAAGAAAAAAGAAAGAACAGCAAAAGTGTAAGCTATATATCCTAACATAATGTATAACTTTTTTTTTGCGAAACTAACATAATGTATAACTAGTAGTGGGGCAGGAGCATGCCTTCATAGCAGCTGACAGAAACCTATTTGCTATCGACTCCATATCATCTTCGTCAGTCACAATCGCCTGTAGTCAACAACTGAAGTGAATCAAATGAACTTTGCTAAGCAACATGCTTTTCAGGCAACAGCAATTCAGTAAACTTAAAAAGCTCAAACATTAGCTTCAAATCACCTTGAAATATTTGCTTAGTGCCATCCGATCCAAAGCTTCGATCATGCATCTCCTGTCAAGGGATGATGCGACAGCACAAGGTATCCCTGCTGTCTGAACAGCATCCAGCCATTCTCTCAATCCTTCTACAGGTGTATCGAGCTGAATGAAATGAGAAATTAGTTATAGGTGATAATATTTTAAATTAAGCAGCACAATTAAAAAAAAGCACAGAACTTACTTTGAACAGGTTCTCATAGTACAACTCTATAAGGCGTGCCTTCAATTTTTCCATTTTATCTTCCTCTTTTGCCCAGTACAAAACCTGGATGGGCAATGTAGGATTGCTAGTGAGCGCCAAACAAAATGAAAAGGAGATACCAAGTGAGAGAGCATGCATTTTCCTTTTTTCCCCTCTTAATTTTCTGTTGAGAAATTAGGTGGAAAATTCGAGTTGCAAAAAGATACATCAATTGATCATGCACGAACGGCGACAAATTCAGTGATACATGATATTGTCGTATGCAACAAAGTCACACCTTTCTAAGAACATGGTCAGCAGCACCATGAAGAATGCTCTTCCGGACATGAACAGCACTTGGGATATCCTTACCTGCACAAAACAAAGAATCTTAACAACTATATCAAGGTAGCATCCACGAACATTGAAATAAACATCAATTCAATGACTTATGAGAAGTTTATAAGAGAATTTTTGGTTTTCAGGTGTAGTAAGCTCAAGTACATGCCCACAACTGAAGAAAGTAAGGATAAACTATATAGCTTCACGAATCCAACCTAACTCCAACCTGAAGTGTTCTTCCTTTGATCAACGTTGTAGAAAAGCCAAGGTGAGAACTGCGCACTTGTAGAGCAAAATAGATTTGCAGGGCATAACCAAATCCATCTAAGGACGACTACCTCTGATTGATAGCATGGGTCATTTTTTAATGCAGAAAAGGCTGAAAACCTATTAACTATCAAGATGACAAATGAACAGGTGTTGTTCATACAACAGCCCTTCCTTCCATCCCAAAATTTCAGTCCAAATGAGAGATAACTTTTTATGTGCTTAAACTAGACAATACCATTAATGAGAATATGAAAAGGAGACATAATATATCCATGCAAATAGAAAATGGTCCCTGCAGTTTCCATTGTTGCAACATGGCGCTAGATTGGTCACATAGCAGTAGTATCCTACACAATTACATGGCTTTGCTTATAAACATACCTTCCTCCAGAGCAAGCTGTCTCCAAGCATTCAACTTTAGCGAGTCTGTATCAGCCTAAGAGAATAAAGACAGACATCACATGTCAGTCAGTCAATCCGCAACATATAATAAAGATATTTTGCAAGTTATACATTCAAGCATGTACAAAAGAAACTGCAAATAACACCCAGAGGTGCATCAAACCAGATAAGAGTTGAAATATGAACAGTGTAAGCTAGACATTGTTTGCTTTATCTTTATCTTTACAGTCCATAATTGTAGGAAAAAAAACTCCAGGATGCCATTTAGAAATTGGAGCACTAACATTTGATACACTAACACCAAAAGAAAACTTACAATAACATTGTCCCACGAAAAAATTAGACCAAACGCCTCATCCGGCTTCATAGCATGCCTTATCCTTTGAAGGAAGCATTCTTGCAATTTTTCATTCAGATAATCCTGAAACATGGAGAAAATTTATAACAAAAGTTAGCATTACAGAGATGTTATTGGACACCAAATAGATATATTTGATATGGTAATCCAACTTATGATGATGTATACTTACCACATCAACCTTGAGTGGTCCATCCATCCGAAATGTTTCGAAGCCCTCACCGTATTCCGCTCCGATTGCCTGAAAGGGGGGGAAAGAACATTCTTTAACCTGTAACTTTAAAATGATAGCGAAATCCCTACCCTCAAAAAACAGCATGGGCCAATATTGGACGTGGCTTTAGGTGGTTTCAATTTTACAGCACGTTACCAATCAAGCTATGGAGAATACCCATGCAACATAACAAACAAGGAGCTCAGGAAAAAATTACTAACTGCCAACTCTGAGCCCTCCAGCAGCTAAACAGTTACACAGTCACAGTCTAAGTAACTGCTCCAGCACAAATTTACATAAAAATAAGTGCAAGCTTGGAATGCAGGAGATTTACAGGAAACAGTTTGATTCCTAAGAGAAACCATGTGCTCCAAACAGGGCTAAGGTGGTGTTTGGTTGCCACTCCTAAATTTTAGTCGCTGTCCCATCGAATGTTTGGACACATGCATGGAGTATTAAATATAGACTAATTACGAAACTAATTGCATAGTTTGCGACTAATTTGCGAGACGAATCTTTTAAGCCTAATTAGTCCATGATTTGACAATGTGATGCTACAGTAAACATATGCTAATGACGGATTAATTAGGTTTAAAAAATTCGTCTCGTGGAGTACTGACGGATTATGTAATTTGTTTTTTTATTAGTATCCGAACACCCCATACAACATCCTCCCGACACACCTCCTAAATTTTAGTCACCGGATCCAAACACCACCTAAGATTTACTCAACAGGCCGCTCACACAAGAAGCCTAAGAAAACATATATAACACCAACAAAGCCTTTTAGTCCCAATCAAAGTTTGGGGTAGGATACATGAAAGTCACATCTACTGAAAAGAATTCACCTGGAAGGCACAAACCCTCATACACCCAATATACCACACCTTTTAGTTTGCGAACTAACGTATTGGAACGAAAGAAAGGATCTAATCTGAAGGCGCTTCAAATAATCAGAGCTAGCTAGTACCATCTTCTTCCGAAGAACAAGATAACGGTACTGATTTTCAAAACAGAAGCACAAATTGTACTTCAGAGCTCGCAGTCTCGCACGGAGCTAATTCGACACCAACTGTACTACAGCAGTTGATTTGACACATTTTTTGCGCCTAGAGCAGGGCAGATTTCTTGAAACCAAACGAACACAACCCAAGAAAATGCATTCTTTGTCCAAGAAATCAAAATAGGGCAGCAAACAAAAGAATATAGAAAGCACCTCATCGACGAAGACCTTGCCGGGGAGGGGCGGGAAGGCATCAAATCCGGACGCCCTCCTCCGCACCCCAATCTGCCTCCCTTTTCTTGGTCTCTGCATAACAACATCCCAAAAAATCAGGAAAAAATCGAGAACAAAAAAGAGCCCGACAAATTAGGGTTATATATACGAGCGGAGGAGGAAGCGGCCTACGGGAAATCGGAGTATGGGGCATGGGGCGCGCGGGGATGAAGATGAGGAGGGCGCGGAGGGGAAGGGAGAAGGCGCTGTTGCGGCGCGGAAGCTACAGGACTCCATTGGAAGGGGAAAGAAGGGAGGAAGAGTGGGATAGCAGTGGAGGGGGTTTATTTTTAGAAGTTTTCCCCATTTCCTATTTATTTTATACAATTTTTCTGGCCGTAAAATGTCGAAATACAGGAGAATTTTATTTCCTTTTTTTTTGCTGGTGGTGGGGTATGAAGTGAATTCATGTGAACTTTTACTGCCACAAGTTGAGGCATAAAAGTTTATCGAATCTCGATATTTATGTATTTTCCTTTTGGATAATGCATAGTATCTTTGGCTTTTTCTTGTATTTTTTACTTTTTGTATAAAGTCTTGGGAAAAAATATCGCATACAAGACTGTATACTCTTCTTTCACTTTCTTTGCAGTTTATAGGCATTATTTTAACATCCATCGACCTGCCTCAAAAAGTTAATTAACCTATAACTTTGTCAAGAAAATAAAATGTTGAATTGAGGATATATGTTTTGTTGCCAACTATCCATGCCATACTGAATTCTATGATGTTCATAAAGTTCATAACATGATAATCTTCCTTGACATTACCAAGCTAGCTAAGAAATTGTGGTAGGTCGTAATTATATTTGTTTAGCTCATAATTACCATCTGTTCTAATGAAAAATAACAAAGCGGCTTTACATTAAAAATTAAGGGAATGCATTTCCAAAACACATGAGTGATTTGTATTCTTATCGCGTCTTTGTATTAAGGAAGAGAAAAAATTTAATACAACATGCCTTAGTGTACATGCCTTAGAGGTGACCCTCACCCTAGTGTACATGAGCAATATCCGCGACATAATTTCTTTTTGCAACCACCACCGGTGAATGATGGACAAAGCATGCTATCTCAGGTAACTAGTGTTCTTGGAAAACACAAATTATATGTTGGGGTAGTCGGATTCTGCCACGTGCCCCAAATCAACATTTTCCTAACCTCTTTCTGCCTTAATTTCATAATTGTTTTGTGTCGAGAACGTAAAGGTTCACGGAGTAGCAATAAGGTCATTCATCATTTGTGTAAAACAAATAGGGAGAGGTTAATGTGTGACTCGTCATGACTTCGGGTAGTGTGTGACTCCTTTCCCTAGCGTCTTCCATGTCTCTCCCTCGCACACTCCTTCTCTGTTGCCCCCGCCCATCTCTTCCACCACCGACGATCGACAACTCCAACCACCTCATCACCCATTCTACCTCCCATTGCTGATGTCTCGACCCCATCCCCCCTAATCACATGGCCACCTCTGACCACTCCAACCCCAACAACCGCCCTCCCCTAGCCAGCAGCTCTAACAACAACCATGCCGCCTCACTGCGTCGTTGAGCCTCAACCCATCCGATGTCACGGCTACTGCCTCCAAACCCTCTTTCTAGAGCCGTTAGTGATCCTCGGAACCTTAACCCCCAAACCCTCTACTAAAAGTTGTCGTTACACGTATGTAGCCTTGAGGACCCTGGAGTTTGTTCCATGGTTCCAAGCCAATTAACTTAGGGTTTGTTCTTTTTTTAGTGGATAGGGTTTGTTCTTGTTGTTTCAAGTACTTTATATATTGGGCTGAACTTGGAATCCAGTCACCTATGGGCTTCATAATATTCATAAATTGGGCTGAAACATGGAAGGCCCAAACTGACTGGGCCACGCACGATTAGTCAAACAAAGCTCAACAAGTCTCGCCAGATCTGAACCCATCTCCATTCGTGGGTGCCCGTCTCGACTGCCCCCACTCCCAACTCCGGCGACTGCTGCGCCCCCACCATGGCCGCTCGCCGGAGCACCAGCTCCACCCGACGCGGCCTCCTCCCCGCCCTCCTTCTCATCCTCTGCTCGTCCGTCCCGCCCCTCGCCGCCGCATACCGCCCAGGAGACATCGTCCCGATGCTCCGCTCGGGACAGTACCACGGCGTAATCCAATCGACCTCAACCCTTACCCAAGGCAGCTCGTATGGAGCTATTCCGGTTCGTCTGTGTCTGATCTGTGCGTTTTTTGGCGTGGTTTTGCAGTCGAGGACGGTGTGGTTCGACGTGGTGGGCCGCCACTGCCCGGCCTTCGCAGTCAACCGGGAGGTGAGGCTTTCTTGGAACAGATCGAAGGTTCCACCTCTGGGCTTTCTTCTTGTGGGGAGGTTTTTATTTAATTGAGGTTTTTGTGCAGGTGCTGATGCCAATCCCAAAGCCGACGGGGTTCACTGGTGCTGATCCGTACAAGATGTTAGTAACTTCCCTTCAGATATCGCAGTATATGAACATGTCTGAGGCTGCGGCATCTGAATTATACATTAGTATCATACAATACTTAATGTGATTGTGTGAATTGTTTGGTTTTATCAGGGTTATTTAGGTGTTGCCAAGTTGCCTAGTAGTTTCTGAAACTGCATGATGCTAGAATTATTAGATACTTTATAAGTTTTTTCGCTGGATGAGAAATGAAGCTTCCTCTTGTTCTTTCTCAATGATGATGATGTGCTGAGTAAATAATCGCAAAGGTGGTTAGGTCCTTTTACCTCACGATTCTTTTGATTGCAGAGGATTTAGATCCTGGAACTAATTAGCAACACATTACTGGATGGATGTGATAGAAAGATTTGTATTATATAACTATAGCTTATGAAACCTTCATCCAACGCAAGGCCCATAAGGGTTATGGCTGTAACTCCTCTGAAATTGCACATTCTAGAACTTGGCATGTTCTAGAGAAAATCTGCAATATCCCTCTGAGTACAGTGTGATATGCCACTCGTTTTGAGACCGACATGTAGTGCAGATTATATTATGTACTAGACTTTTCTTGAAATGGACTGAATTTGATCAGAGAAATGACAATGACTGAATACGATAAGGTTGCACCATTTGTATGCCTTTTGTTCAATTATTGTTTTTTTATCTTTGCAGAAGTATGTTTTTCTTACCTTATAACTATGCAGAACATTTCAAATTGGACATGAAAAGTTCCATGTTCCTTGGCTTTATGTTATAAATCGCAAGACCTCTGAAGTTCCACTGATCGATTTCCATTTGGTGAGGAATACACTCCTTGCTTGACTTTTTTGTTTAAACAATCCTAGTGCGTCTTCTGCCTTCTTTTGTTTAATACCATTTGCTGTGGGTTTCACAGAAGTACTCTGGAAATGATATACTTGGGGTAACAGCTAAAGTTGTGGACATGCCTCACCACTGTATGTAATGTGCTGTCTGTCCTTATTACATTTATTTCGGTGCATGCCATTTATACTCACTTTATAAAGTTTGCGTCCACTAAAATTATGTCTAGGTTCTAGCTCTGCAAACTAAAAAGCCAGTGATGAGGGCTTTCATCATTGTCACGTATTGCTGCTTTTCAATACTTATGCCAGTGCAGAGTTGTCTTTTACTACGATTAACCCGCTGTGTGCGCTAGCGTATTTGAGAATATTCAGTTCTTCACTAATCGCACATGAATTCCCTCTGCCAATCAAGAATATGTTTGGCTTTAACAATTCATGAGCCTTATATGATGTCTGTGGCATGTGTTGAACTCCAATATGCTATAGACATGTCAACTTCCAAGGCTTGCAAACATCATAATGAAATGCATCATCTTGTTTGCTACACCTGTTCCCTTTCTTTCCTCTTTGTCCTATGTGAGCAGTAAATTTCATATTAAGGTAGATATGATGATATACATGTGTCTTACATGGCCGATCTAGTACCCTACCCACTGACCATTTCATTCACTGGCAGACGTGGAAGTTCATCCTGACATAAAGAAGAATTTCTGGGATCCACAGAATTGGCCAAAATATGTTCTTGTTAGATATACATGGTATAAATTTTATCTGCTTTATTTGTGAATGAGCATAAATGTAACCTGCAGTAAACATTGCCAACTTTGAAGAATACCGTTAACACATGAATTCATATTCAGGGAGGAGCAATCAGAGATAGATGTTGCTGGAGGATTTTATGTGTTATTTGGATCCGGTGAGTCCATTCGCTAATTCAGATAGCTTTCATGTAGCTAAGTCCCTAAGTTGTGTTGATTTTAGTTTCGCTCTTACCCTTTGGATTGGAGCCTACCTTATCCAATGGACAACTGACCAAACAATTTATGGTGTGTTTGTTCTGATATAACAAAGGCTTAAATTTTTGGATTCTAATTACTTTGGCGTTTACACATGCAGGGCTTGTTTTGTCCTTCATCCTTGCAATATATGTCCTACAGTCATCTCAAGAGAAGTTGACAAGGTACAATGCTTGCCACGTTTAATTTGTTTATGGGATTATATATAGGGTGAATAATAAGTTATTGTGATTTGAACTAAATGCTGGAGATTTGTATCCAAGCGCTCCCTATCCAAATAAGCCCTTATGGCATACTTTTTTTTGAACGATGCAAAACCACTTTAACATTCGGGCAGATATAAGCACACCTATGAATCTGGGGCTTGTCAAGATAGCAAGTTTGAAAATATTTTAGCTAGTTTAATTGAAATTAACTCCATTGTGATCCTCCATGTTTATCATATTCTTATGAGCAAGGAACTTGATTCTGTTGGGCAGAAGAACTTGATGAAAATGTAGATGTTGACATTGATACCATGCCATGCTGCTTTGCAGGTTTGTGCGAGAAGCAGTTGCAGATAGTAGCCTCCCAGAGGGAGGAGTTGCAAAGGTCGAGTGACCTATCTACAATGAACTGTCATATTGCCCACTAATTTCTACACTGATCAGAACATCGAGAGATTCGCAACAGCCAAGTTTCTTGGATGTGTAACATGTGATACAACAGAACATCATACATATGAAGAGCCAGTGGTTTATTTGATTATTTCTTGTGCATGCTCTGAAACCAACTTTGCTTATATGGTTGAAGAGAAAGATGAAGCATCGGATCCTCCGCATGATTTCATTTCCAGACTGGAGTTTTGGTGCATACTATCTCTCCAATGAGAATTTGGGACTGAATAGGTTTTTTGGTTTATGGTTTTGTAGAACCTTGTAGTGAGAAATGTAAAAAACAGCTGTGCCAAACCTGTATGATTTGCCTTGCCGTTATCTACTCAAGTTAGATTAGCAAAATACCAAATTGATCTGAACATCATGTAATGCCTAAATTTTCACAAGATTCTATTGGAGCTTCGCATCTAGTAGCAAACCATTGTTTGGATCATTAAGGAATCATAATCGCTAAAATATGTAACCTTTACATGGAAGAAGTAAAGGAAAAATAGGCATTATCTTAATTGACTTCTAATTTACAAAACTTGCATTATGAGAGTTTTAAAACGAACATGAACTGAAAGCAACAAACTTGAACCTAGAAATGCTAAAAATCTTGCACAAGTCTTATCCGGATATTTTTTATACAAAAAGAATGAAGCCTATCTTTGGATATAGGCATGCCATGTCCCACTTGGAGTTACAGTAAGAGGATGTGGAGCATATCCAGATACAATCATACAATATCTGCTGTCTAGTTTCAAGGTATATCTGAGAACCCTGAAGGTAACATCCTCCCAAGAAACAGATCCTTTTACCGCTAGTAGATTGTGACGCTAAAGAAGCCCAAAAATGTAACTGAAATGTTCATTACACTCTGGGTTGGCTTCCAACCCTACTATCTGCCTACTAAATTGAATCCTGTATGATGCCATCGTTAAGAGGTAGAAATTTTCACTCCCGCGAATACTTTGAGCTCCACATGGGTACCTTCAAAGGCTCGTCATCAACAACACCGCCCCCATTTTCAACTTTGCTCAAAGAGTCTGCGATCAAAGGGGCTGCCTCGCTTTCTTTCACCTGCAACGTACGAAAAACAGTGGCGATTACAAACGAGAGAGGAACAAATGAATCTATATAATAATACATAGTTATTAATACATGTCAAAATTTGCTCAAAAGCTCTATTATCCCACTTTTACAACTAAATGTACGTACAGCCTAGTTTGTTCCATATATAAGTAGTTGTTAAAAATTGAATTTTTTTTTTAGAAATTTCAAAGTCTGCCACTAATTTAGCAAACCTTTCAGGATTGGTTACTCGTATATCATATTTACACACTGGGTCACTGCAGATGACAGGTAGGTGACAAATTCTGAAAGGGCAGCAGAATTTAATGGTGCACACTGAAATTTCTCCAGTGCATGAGAAAGGTACCTGCTGTGGGGAGACTTCGCTGTTTTTTTGCTGGGTCTCCACTGTGCAGAAGTATGAATACAAGACCATTCCAACTACTGCAATTAGGATTCCAAGTATGTTTCTCCAGCTAAACGGATCGTGAAGCAAAACATAACCGAAGGTAAGAACAAGACATGTTTTAAGATGCCCCAGGACTTGGTAAGTAACAGGAGATGTCTTTCCGATCACAAGAAAAGTGCTGAAGTTCACTGAGACCGACATCAAGCACGACAACACAATGAAAAACTGCACACGAGATAAGACAAAAGTTAGAACATGATGAGAACTGTTGGGATATGTGCACCAAAGATGTTTTACTACTCACCACAACTTGAGATGTATAATTAAAAGCAAAGACATTTTGGTTAGTCAAAAAGCCATCAAGGAAGGGGCCAATGAGAAACAGGGTCAGTGATTGGTAAGGGCAAGACTGGTAGAGCAGTTGGGTTGACGAGACCTTGAACTTCTTTTGGATGGTGTTTGTCATCTGATAAATGATCAAGGATTACAGAAACAGACCACAAAACAAAAACTCAAATGCATTAGAGCTATACAGCAAGCAAGAGGAAAAAAGCATTGGGTATTAGGAAAAAATACACACATTGACAACTTCTTGTGTTCAAATCATGACAACCTTCAGCTTATTTATAAGAGAGCAGTGTAAAGAGAAATAACAGCAGTTTGATCTCATGTTTTAATGTGAATGAAAACTAGCTTTTCTTTGCCTTCTAGAACACTAGAACACCAGAACACCAAGGCTAGCCACATGAAAATAGGAGATGCTGTTGAAAATATGTGCAAATCCTACTAAATAAAGGAAAAAACATTATCAGGCACTTCAACTTCAGTTTGTGGAAAATAAATTCGAGCTGCTGCTGAAAGGATACAATTTGAGCAATGCAAGTCGTGATAATTGCCAGCAAGGACAGTATGGATCCGACAGCATTGAGTTGCAGATCAGTGACAGTTGCAACACCAACACCAAGAAGGAGCACAGAAAGGGACATCTGGATACTCCGACTGCAGAGTGAAGTAAGAAACATGTTAGCTGATTTTCAAAAAAGAAAATGATAGCTGAAGATAATTATGGAAAAAATGCACAAAATGTATCGAACACAGACCTGAACTTCTTCCTGAAGAAAAGTGTCTCTAAAATGACAGTGCACGGGATGATCGCCAGCTTAGTCATCTAGATATAAAGGCATTTCAGCATCAGTTAGGTGGATTGATTATTGTCTAAGGAAGAGGAACACCAATTATTCAACCATAACAAATACTACTATATAAAAGACATTGCAAATCTAATAAAAATAATCTACAAAATGTGTCTAGCACAAGGAGAGTGGATGGTACATAAAGTTGAGATAAAAAGGTGTATCGTGCATTGTGTCAAGAAAAAAAGGGCGATGGCATATTGTGTCAAAAAAAGAGTGTATGGTACATGACAACAAGAAGATAACTTTTTTCTTGACCTCTACATGAGTACTACCACATATTGAAAATAATGTATCACTGATGCGGTACCAGAGTACCAGACAAGTAATAATTGCAGGACCAGAGTGAAATATCTAGGAAATTCTGACTGGTACAAGAACTACATTAAGAAGATAGCTATGTACCTGGTAAAACCCAACAGAGTTGAAGCCAAGACTCAAGTTGAGGAGCCCAATGGAGATTCCATTAAGTACTCCAAATCCCATGACAGTTCTTGAATCGAAAGGCTTATGCTCAAAGAACTTCATCCATAATGCCACATGAAGAGAGCAGAATGTAACCAGCAGATGCCAGCTTGTCAAGGTAGTGGCTGCAGAAGACAAATACATATTTCACAAACATTAGAAGTCATTTAAATCAGACTTACATACTCCAGTGCAAGTTGATAAAATAAGATCTAGTACTCGTCCGTCAACAAATGTAAGGACTTCCACGATTTTTATGATAACATAGGCAGGGAGGGAAAAGACGCATGTACCCCTCAATCAAACACCTAAACCACATTGACGCAATTAAAGTACTGCAAATTCGGGTAACCGATGTCATAAATGATAGCTTTAAATCCTTTCTATTTAGGAGGATTAGGCCAGAAGTTCTTACATTTGTGGACAAATTTTGAAACCCAAATCCTTACATTCGTGGACACAGGAGTAGTATCTTATTGCATTTGCGATACAAAGTCTTGCAATTCAAGGCAGCACAGGCCTGAGCCAAATTATGAGTGCAAGTCAACCTACATTATCGTTAAATAAAAACAAAAACGGAAGTTACGAGTTCTCCTTACGATGCATGGGTACATGAACTCCTCATGCAAATCAAAATGTGTCACCAGCACAAACAAGGATACTCCCTTGTGTCAAGCAACCTATGCAAAAAGCAAACAAGACATGACACCCAACCTCACTCACCAACTACATAGAAGTAACTCTAATCTAGAACATCAAGAGCCATCAAAGCTATAACAGAAAGCAAGTTTGCTCCAGGGTCACACATGTTTCACTTTCATCATTCACAATCAAACTGGCACCAATCAACGACAGTTGAAGTTCCGACAGATACCAATTGGCACTCCTAGTCCTGCCTCAAAGTTATCACTGAAGCTATAAGCCCTGCAACACCATCTGAAGTGCTGAACCTTGCGCACACATCTCCAGAACTACAGCCCCAATGGAGCACGCAGATCTACGCGAATCACCGAACGTCTAGCACGAGCATACACACATAACAAATCAAGAAACTGAAGCAGGAACCAGTCAGATCTCACACCGAAGTTAAAGCCGAGGGAGCTCATGAGCGCCTTGTTGCAGATGACAATGGAGACGGAGGACACCACCGAGAGGCTCAGCGCCCCCACCGTCCCCAGCTGGAACTTCTCCCCGCCGACGCCCATCTCCGCGGCCCTCGAAACGCAGCACCACCACACCACCGGCACCGACACCGACACCGACACACAAACCGAGGAATGCCCCCGAAAGATCACAAATTTCCAATCGAGCCGCCGGAATCACGCGGCCCGGTGCACCTGCAGCCGACAAAGAGCCCATTTTGATCAGCAAGCCGCGCCAGCAAGCGCCCACGAGAAGACGGGCTCGCGCCCGGTCGGACCTACCGCTCCTCCGTCGGCTTGGGCGGTCGGATCTGGGCGAGGAGGGCGCGAGTCTGGGCAGGGCGGCGGCAATGGCGAGGAGATCTGGGGGAGGAGCGGGCGGGATCAAGGCGGTGGCGCTCGTGCCCCTCTCCGGTCTCGCGAATCAGGGACGGGGAGGAGGGAGACGAGGAGGGACAGGGTGGATAGCTTCGCTTCTCTTTATTATATGGCTGGTCGGTCGGTCGCCGTCGGTGAGAAAGCTGATTAGAGAGAGGGCATTTGCTATTGCTATAAGAAGGGTATTTGACTCTGCAGTGGCAGTAATTACCTTGCTAATGTTTAAGATTTTTTTTATGTGGGCAGCCTTCTTTCTTTTCTTTCCTGGAGTTGCAAAAAACATAGCTGAATGGAGAACTAGCTAAAAGCAGACGGACTCACACGAGGATATACCACTGAAAGTGTCATATCCTTAACTTATCCTGTCTTTTTTTTATCTCGAATTGTATATTTTGTGTTCAAAGTGCAGTACAAAATGTAGATTTTAGTGAAGAAATACTAACCGGTCTTTCTTTTATCTTGAATTATATATTTCGTGTGCAACATGGAATGTAGACCTTCATATTGCAAAGTGTAATACAAAATGTAGATTTTAGTGAAGAAATATTAACCGATCTTTTTTATCTTGAATTATATATTTCGTGTGCAACACGAAATGTAGACCTTCATATATCCTCGTATATTAACCAAAAACCCACCCACCACAAGCATAGAAATGTCTTTGTTTTTGTCGTTTTCATGACCTATTTTGTTTGTTTGGTCATTTTCTATCAAGTGAAATGTTACTTACCGCCTCGGGTTAAGTAGCCATCACTTTTAGAAAAAGAATTATAGTCTATAGTGACGCATATGTCTTTCTCAAATGAATACAATATTAAGCACTATAATTGTTCTAGGTTGATTGCCTCTCTCTAGGTCATTTATTTTTTTGATTATATATATGTTAACCATGTTAGCACGTTGACAGTCTTGAAGTGTGACTTGCCATTTTTTATTATAGCTCCCTTCATGATTAGGTAGCATGTTTATGTTTACTCTATAATGTGCTAAATAGAAGGCACAAAATATGAGAAGACAACTAATACACTCTGCACTGAACATGTGGTTACGTAGTTGTTTCTTCGTGTATATCACCAAGTGGATCATTTTTACTATATCAAATTATTGTGTTTCTCGCTCTTTTCTATTCTTGATTATACTTTAAGAAGTCCACTCAATAAATCTAATGATTGGAGATCTAACGGGTTATGAATATGAAGATTTGAAGTACTTTATGCCTATGCCTATATGCCTTAGAGTCCACTCACCTGTTATCTTGTATAATTCATGCTATGATAATAGTGGTATCAGCCATCAACGTTGTACTTATTGCATGGAGAATGACAGTAGGTATCACCGATGAAATGACACACCAGCATACAAGGATAGTGAGTTGGCAATCGATGGTGACAAATGTAGTGTCCATGAATCAAGAAGGTTGGATTGTAGCGATGAGGCGGTGGATGACGCCACTATAAATATTGGCTACAACTATAACAACAGACAAAAAAAAGAGACATAGAAGGTAGCTCAAATCACAAATTAAGACATTTGTTAATTAGTTGGAATAAACAAACTTTATATTTTAGCAAAAATAGCTATGCATTTGTATTTGTTAGAAAACTCCCATGATCAATATATGTAAATGTAACTATGTCCAACTTTGGTTCAGCCGAATGTAAAATGCTGTGAGCTGGAAATGTGAATGATCAGCTTTGTTTTATGTGTGGTCCTGATCTCCAGTCTCTCGCCACTGACATACACAAACTCAAATTGAACCCACGCACCTTTTAATCACATGTTGATCCAATTTGAAATTCGTGGAATATACCACCTTCACTAAAAAAACGTGCAAATACTATTGTTTTGCCACTCGCACAACCGGATGGACGTGACGGTGTTCCTTGAACATGATCGGACACAATTAATGTAACCATAGAGTATTATGGGGAAGTTTGACTAAAGTGGTTGCTTGAAAGTTGGATCTAATAATAGTGGAACACAAGCCAACAAAAGGTTGGCAGGTAGCCTCTCACTGGACACTGGGTGGTCTTCTTCTTGGCCTCATTTCCATGGGGAAGCAAAGAAAAAATGGCAGGGAGCAGCCAGCTTGAAGAACTCAACATACCATGTGGGTCAGTTGACCATGTGCCCTGCTGTGATCACAAATTAAAACCATGCCTCGACCGTTCCTGTGTGATCCGACGGTCGACGTGGCTCTTACCCTGTGTAGTGCGACTGGTTAGTTTATCTTGTTGGCCTCATTTCCATGAGAGTTATGGGGCTTATTTTGGTCATGGATCCAATGCTGCTCTTTGTTTTATGCTACTTTGTTATGCTACCGGAGCAGAGCTCATGTGCCTTAATTACCGTATGGTAATTAAGTTAGCCTTGGTCAGGCCAGTAGCACAGCTAGGTAAACTCTCCGTCTCAAAAAAAGGGGTAAACTCTCAAGTGTATGTGTGTTTTTTACTGCAAGTCTGCAACTGCATGGACAGCATGGCTACTGTATATATAGAGAGCATTGACCAAAGAGCAACGCAAAGTACTCTTTCACTATTTTCTTTGTTGGAACATTAGTACTCATTATTAGCATGATGGCAACCTTTGCAAGATGCAAAGGATCAATAATTTTGGTAACAAGGTTCCTTGCTTTACCCCTACTTGTGCCATTTGGTGAAGATCCTTTTTATTCAAGAAAAGATGGGTGTGGCTGGCCTGCCAGGAAAGGGAGAGGTTTGGTAGTGTGAATGAATATGGTTTCTAGATCATGAGCCCCTTGCTTTTGGTCATCTTTTGACATGTGAGCAATTCACTTGTTGATGCCCCTGTCCAGCTTGGAAAAGGCCATCTTCCATGTGCTGAAAGCACAAAAACTCAAAATAATGTTAGATATGACTTGGAAGCTGATTCCCATTCCCTCATATAACTTTTCCTTTTCTTTTCTCTTTTCATACAACACAAGAACACTTATTTCATTGATAATCTGATTCGAGTTGTTTTTGAATCGATTTTACGTAGTCATCGCGGTCCCGATCGAATAAATTCGGTTGAGGAACCAGTTGAAGCATCACACTTACTAGACGTAGATCTAAATCAATTGATGTTCCTATTCTCTTTATTTGAAATTAAGGAACAGTTGTGATGTGATGGATTCTAACAAACGTATTATCCCTGACCAGTGCCTAGGCAATGGTCGACATCAAGGACTAGTTTCTTCAGTCTTGGCATAAGTTGGTACCAAACCTAACTAGTACATACAATAGCTGATACAAACCGAGGAGCGTGTTCTTCGTGCTTTCACATTACTATAGCAATAGGACCCATGCTGACAGGCCACCAAACTGTTATTCCTAACATGGCTGTATTCAGTTAAGCTTCCTGCAAACAAGTTTCATGTGGCAAATAATCATACGCATTTCTACATCGGCGTAACTAAGGAAAATACGATATATTACAAAAAAAAAAATCCATGGTGGAAAGAAAAGCTTGCCTTGTTTGACCATAAACCAAAACCATCCTTTTTAGCTATTGGGCTTCCAATTCCTACAAAGTAAAAGAAAAGATTTTAGTTACCATTGGAAATAAACTTCTTCGTATATACAGTTCTACACCCATACTCCTGCAGATCCTCCACTCATATTTATTCAATCTGAATACTTATAGGAATACTTAATCCAATGCAAAATGATAACTTGCAAGTGATAAATTAGCTGCATCAGGATAACTGATGTCATGTGCAATGGACCACTAGAGATTTGCTTGCCCTGCCCTTTGGCCAAATGGGTTTGGACCGAAGTCTTGACTTTGGGAGAACTTTAATGTGCAACTGATCCAACATGATGTCGAACCCTCGGAAATTAACTCTAGGTGGGAGGCAGCAGCCCAAAAGGTTCCAAAAGATCAAATGTGGAGATTCAATGGCATGGTTATTTACATATTATTTGTTCAAAAAATGGTTATCTACATATTGTGGAATCTATGGAAGGAAAAAAATAGTAGAAATTTCGAGAACATGTTCTAAAACGCCAAGCAAGTGGCATCAAGGGCTAAAGAGATTGACATGAGAAAGAGAGTTTAACCGCCGCGGGGCAGCCCTTGATATCCCGTTTATTTTTTTTCTTTACTGCATGGAGCCTAAATGTGTCCCAGTGGGGAAAGAGTCCCCATTATTGTGTATAAACTCTTTCCCTACCTTAATTGAAAGGCAGAGCTCCTGCCACTTTTTTTTTAAAAAAAATTATGTCTGCTACGCACTCATAAAGCAAATTGTATTTTGGATGCAAATGCAATTAGTTTTTGGATACTAATCGCGAGAATGTATATTCTTCCTCATCATGCTTTTGAGAGGAAAAGGATCAAGCCCTTTATAAGAACTGAAGTTTTTATCGGAAGGTCTAGATTCCACACACGAAACACAACATCAGCCTTCTGTACTTTTCTATCCCGCACCTTATTTGGGAGGGAAAATGAAGTAAATTTCCCCGCCAATACTAGGAGATTGCGTCTAAGGCCTCAGTTGGTGCTATTCCTTTTCCTGTAGATGCTGCATGAACAATTCCCTAGACCTGTGAAATTTGGGGAGTTGATAGATTTCATTTCCAGGCTTCAAAAGCTATTTTTTCTAAGAAAAAGAAAATGTCTATATATTTGCTTTAGATGTCGTGACCTGACGTCCATAAATGTCTATCGTCCGTGTTAGCAACTTTAGTTCATATCCAAACTTGTGTTCAGAAAACTCGAGTCTTCAGGTGCAATCAATTAGGTCGGCTCAGGATTGTACTCAGTCAACCTCAACACCTACCTTTGTGTCTAGAGCACAGGTAAGACCTGAACTGACTCCTGCAGCCCGTTACCTTCCTTTGTCCTCGCATATAACAGTCCTAACTCAGAAGACTCCAAACACATCTTAGATGAAAAGAGAGGACTCATGTGCAGTTCAGTTATTGACCACATAAAGTCGTGACTGAATAGCTGAAAAAGATAAAGGTTCAAGCATACCATAACATCCATAACATTCAACAGTTGACAACAAGAACAAAAGCCATAGGAGTATAAAGGAACGGCATGAATATCCCATCCCATTACATTCTACACACATACCACAGAATTCTTAACAACAGGCTGCACGGCAGAAGTTGCAAAAGAACAAGGCTAAAAATAGAACAGACCCAGAGACAAGCAACTGTGCAATTCATTGGCAAACCGACATTGTTCATTTATCAGGTTGCCATCACAGCCGGCCTCCTGTGGCCTTGCAACAGCTGCCTCAGCTGCTGATACCCGCTGCGGTAGTGTTCAATGGAGAAGCACAGCTGCCTGATGGCCTCCCGCTTTCCCTCTGCGCTCTCGGATATCACAAGCTTCTGCTTCTCTACCTCTTCTTCCAGCTCAAAAATCTGTGCACGCAGCTCTGACAAGGACCTGTGTGCAGTATCAAATTCTGCCATCAGCTTGGCATGCTCAAACTGAAGCTGATTTAAGTGGTCATCCATCTGCTTCATCTTTTTGTCACGAGTCGTAATATCAGCTAGCAGTTTGGCCAACTCAAAATCAACTGTGGCTTTCTCAGATGACAATAATTCAAGCTTTCTCCTGAGATCAGCAATATATTGATTGAGGACAGAAATCTGCTTCTCATTTTCGAGAGATTCTTCTTCCTTGTCAGCATAAACTTGCATAAGCTCTGCCGCCACAGAGGACAATTTGCCTTCAAGAGAAGCGTTTGCTTCAGATAACTTCAAAAGATCTGCGGTAAGAGAGGACTGCTCATGTGAATGTTTCTCCAAAGATTCAGACATAACCTGCTCCAGCTGCTTGATCTGGTCTTGAAGTACTGATTTCTCTTCTAAGGCTCTTTCTAGCTGGGCTTCCAGGTTCTTGATAGTTTCTGGTAGCTTTGCAACCTCTGTACCTGAGACCTCAAGGGCTCTTAAAAGTTGCTCAAACTCATTAGCGCGTTCTTTGAGAACTTCTTTCTCCTCTGCAACCTTTTCTAATTCTGCTTGTGTATTCCTTATTACTTCTTGCAGCTTAACTATCTCGGAAGCTGAATATTCTAAGCTGTGAGCTGCCTGCTCCAGTTCTTTAATCCGAGACTTGAGCTGCAATTTCTCATGTGAAATTTTTTCTAGGTCACCTTCCATATTCTTGATGACTCCATGGAGCTTTCTAAGCTCATCCTCGAGAGTAGACTTATCATGCAAATACTTCTCTGAGAGTACTCCAAGCTCATGTTTGCACTTATCAATTTCAAGATCACGATGTGCCAATTCAACCTCAAACTGCTTAGCAGCTGAGGCCATTGCACCTTTCAGCATTTCAATCTCATTTGTGCGCTCAAACAGCACAGCTTCCAATGCTTCCTTTTCGATGTTGACTTCTGTTGAGCTCTCTAAAGCAGAATCCCTTTCTTCTGGATCCTTCTGAAGGTTGTTGGATTCCACATCTGAAGTATGCAGCTTTTCTTCATGTTCAGCAACTTTTGAGTTGGTACTCAAATCAATCTGGCAATGTGCATGCTTTTCCTCTGAAGCATCAAGTTTTCCCCTTGCTTCTTGAAGCTCATCTTCTAGCTCAATAATTTTTTGGCTCAGGGCATAAACAATACTGCCATTTTCCTCTTTGGCCTCATCAAGCTCTGAATCAGAATCTGAAGATGATGAAGACCTTTCACTACCCTTCTTGGATACATCAGAGCTAACACCAGAGCCAATGGAAATATCAAGGAAATCTGGCCCAGGCTTTTGCTTTTGCTGTGGCATATTTTCTTGCATGTCAGACTTTGGAGATGAGGAACATTGTGTCTCAGAATCTGATTCAGAGACACCAAAAGAGCCATATGATTGAAGAGATGATGGAATGTTTTTGCGCAGTTCTCCAGTTACACTGTCATATCGCGCAGCAAGAGCACGATACATGCGATAGAACTTCTCCACATGAGTAATAAGTAAAGGCCGCTTCTCGTAAAACACCTCAGCTTTTTCTGCAGAGAACTCTCCTTCACCAATGAGCCCCAGCATTTGTTTCACCTGCTTCTCCATTTCTGTCCATTTTAAAAAACACTTATATTCAGAAAACAACCATGCATGCCTAAGTGGGTAATAAGTATTAAAATAAAAAAGATTGAGGCACTATAAACCATCTTGTGTAGCGAAGAATAACATGTCAGATTGTTTGGTGAGCACACAAGATCACAGTCCTTACCTTCTAGATTCTCAGAGAGCCACTTAGAATTTTGTGGACTAATATGACTGTCCCACCACCATGAGCGGGATTTTCCTGACTGTGCCTTTCTTTTCATCTTCACCAAAATATATGAAAATCTCCTCTGATATGCAAACCTAATTGAGATTCAAAAGGAACAACAGTGAGTAGTTAAAAGGGTGCGCGTGATGCAAGCAACATGACTATCCTTGTTAAGAAAGCTGCAAGTGCAGGAGAAATAGAACCCCATGTAATCTATAAGAAATTTAAGACAGTCGAATAAATCATTCCAGTAGTCATAATAATGTAATCCATGAAAGAAAGGGAAAAAAATAAGTAGTAAAAATCTTTAAAACACAGAAATGTGTAAACTGCTGCCACAGGCCCATAACAAGTTATGCTATTAATTCCAGTTCCAATTAAGTACTACAACTTACCTGTATAAACAAAATAAAAATATGCAATGCTCTAGCCAACAGAGTCGGTCTTGCCTGCTCTTTAGAACATGGCAATTACTAATAATTTGTCTGAGAAAAGAGCAGCCTTGTCCTAGAAATTAGGATGGCAAGCAGCAGGACTAGAATTCAGCTGCAAAATGCCAGGGACCAGAAAAATGTCACTTAATAGCTACCAAGAGAGGCAAGGAATCATTCCACTATGATCTTATCAGAATCGCTGTCATCAAGCCCAGGAGAAGCAATAATCTGCTATCCAAAAAAATAGTAGCACACAAGCATTGAACGACAATGACCCTTTCTCTTCCTAAAAGGAAACATACTACTTTAGGAAGACTTCTGAAAAAGAGATAACATGTGCATTCTGATTTCAGAGAAACATACTACATTATATACCAGGATTAACATAACAGAGGGTCAGCGACAAATAAATTTTATGCTTTGTGAGCAGTCTTGTCAGAAAAATAAATAAATATACATGTATGTTGGGACATTTAGAAATTAATGACAATGAAGTTGATCAGACCTTGTATACCGATCAATTCTTTACATTATGAAAGGGCTGGGACTTGTTTATCACAACTGACAAGTCCAAGTGCAAAAGACACAGCAACTACAGCTCTAGAGCTGTTAGGTAGGTCAGGGAGCACGATTCAATGAACTGGAAATGAACTGAAACATAGACAAGAAGAATGGACAACACAAAGTACTACCCCACATTGATCAACACCTGAGGGTTGGAAGCAAGATGCCGCAAACTCGCGACCAAAAATGCACTTGTCAATGTCCAGCGATGTAACAAATGAGACCACTCAAATTTAATACTATTAAGTATCTGGGATCCACAAAACAAACATGGCAGGGACGGGCACATGGAAGCCTGAGGTGATGGTCATTACCCCTGAGCGATCAGTTTCATTGAGTAATAAACAGAAAATAAAGCTATGAGTTTCCAGCTGCGCAAAATAACTAATTTAATGCATGGCTGAAGAAGTAACGTGTTTGCATTTTTCTGTTTTCCAATCCATGAATAAATGCCCTTATAAATCTGTCGAATTTTAAACTGAGAAAATGTTATCCCCGTTCATTTGTAGGTGGTACCAGTATTTAAAACTAAGAAAATGTTATCCCCGTTCCACCCATGGGAACATGGGACAAACTGATGCCATTCCTAGCCCATGCCTGCGAAGGATCCAGATAACTTTTGCCTAGTATCAAGGTGGCCACAAATGGTACTGCCGATATTTCAGATGAACGCAAAGTTGTTGGAGATTTCCACAGCAAAAACTAAGGAATGAGCACAGATGAGCTAAATGAATTGCAGCCAGATTGGTGCTTAAAGGCTGCTGCCTAGTACAAGACAGCAATCTAAATAAGACCATCACACTCCCACAATCCCAGTAGCAGCATTCACTCTTGACACGGTTGAGCATTCAAGGCAGCACAGAAGCATCCCTCCTGGAAGCACAGCATGGGTCGAATTCCCCCGAGACTGAACAGATCGGAGCCGCGGCAAGACCAACAAACAACAACAGTGGCGTCAGTCCCCAAGGGGAAGCAAGATTTCGTGAAGAGAAGGAGGCCATGCCAGAATCATCAGAGCCGGACGCGACGATCGCCCGCTCAACCCCCCAAAACTAACCAAAATCGAGAAACAGAGATCGACAGCAATCCAGAGAGGCCGAGATTCCGAGACACCGCGAGAAGAAGGAAGAAGATGAAAAAAAATCCCGCATCACAAATCCACCACCAACAATCGACAGAAGAGGGCGAGGAGGAGGGGCCAGGGGGGCAGGCATTACCGGAGCTCGCAGATCAACAACGCGAGCGCAGGGAATGGAGTGGAGGCAGAGCGCAGCAGCGGTTGCTGTTCCTGGCACGCGGAACTGCGGAATGGTGGGGGTCGAGCACTCGAGCGAGCGCTAAAGCCCAGAACCCGCCGGAGCGCGTGGGCGAGCGTTAGCGCGCAGTTACCTTAATGCCCCTGCCGCCTCACCAGCCGGAGGCGTTTAATTTAGGTTATTTTATAGTAATAATTTACCAGCGGGAGGAGGCAAAGAAAAGGGTTAACGGCGCTAATTTAATTGCGAGGGAGAGGAAGGGTGGGCGCTTCCGTGGTGGGCCCCACGAGGGACGGGCCGCCGGGCCGCCGGTTCTGCTCGCGGCCGCGGGGACACCGGAAAACGGGAAAGCCTGGGATCACGGTGCCACGGCCGGGCCCCGGGCACGCATTGGATCCTCCATTTCCTCTGTTTGTGGGCCTTGCGCCCCTGCCACGGCCGCCGGTTCTGCTGCTGCTTTTGTTTTTGTTTTTGTTTGTTGTTTCCTTGGAAAACACATAAATACTTTTCCCTCCCCTTTTTCCTGTACCTGAATGAAAAAAAACAACAAATGATGAGGGCCGTCTTTTGCGAATGGCACGACAATCAGGGATCATTCCGTTTAGTATATACATACAACTTTACAAAGGCCCAGAAAAACACACGTGTTACGACTTACTCCCTCGGTCCGAAAAAAAATATAATTCTCAAATCTCGATAAACCAAATACTTTTAACAAAATTTTACAAAAAACATTAAATGATACAAAATAATCATCATTATATTAGTTATGAAATATAATTTCATAATAAACTAATTTAGTGATATTAATATGAATACTGTTCATTTTTATCCTCATCAAATTTTTTTTTGACGATAACAACTTTTAATATATAATGTTAAAGCACAGTACACCGGTGTTGGAAAAGAATTCCTAGATTATAAAGCACAGTCAAGTAGAATCTACTGTTGATCCACTTCTAAAGACATAGATGAAGCATTTAGGGTCCTCGTTCTCGCACTCTGATAGCACACCCGACACTCTCCTCGATTGTCTAATTGGTTCGTGTCTTTAAAAATAAGTAGTGTTAAGCAGTAGGACGTAGGCTTCATCGAGCTAAAAAAAAAGTACGATAGCCACCTGCGTTAAATCTGACGACCTGCAACAACGGTGGTCAGCGGTTAACCCGAACTTTTCTACTTCCACGGTCTTATTTAGACAGAGACGGAGGGCACTGGATATTTGGCATGAACTTGGGACTTGTTTATATTCCACAATTTTGAAAATTTAGTCTAACTAGTATTTTTGATTTTATTTAGTAATTTACAATCAAACTGGATTAATTAAACTTTTTATCGTATTTAATACTTCATGTATATGTCCAAAGATTTGATGTGATGGATAGAGAGTGAAAAAACTTGCCATCTAACCGTGTGTGAAGAGGGACAGAGACGGAGGGCACTGGAAAACATGAACTTGGGACTTGTTTAGTTATGTGGAATTTGGGAATTTAGCTACTGTAGCATTTTCGTTTTTATTTAGCAATTAGTATTCAATCATGAACTAATTAAGCTCAAAATGTTCATCTTGTGATTTCCCACCAAACTGTGTAATTAGTTTTTTTTCATCTATATTTAACGCTTCATACACGTATTACAAGATTCGATATGATAGCTATTGTAGCACTTTTTTGGAAAACTTTTTAGATCCAAATAAGGCCTTGCTTTGAATCCGTCACCCGCCAGCCACCGAGATTCAGAGAACTACAGGCGTGGCAGGCATGTGTCACCAATCTGGAGCAGCGAGGGACAGCAAGCCCTCCTACATGAGATCCACGTTGTGTCGTTGGGGCCCATAGCTCAGCAGGAGGGGCCCACCAGCACCGGCCGGATCGGATGCGTCGAAGATGTCGCGCTTCGTCTAGAGTCCCGCGACGACTGCGGGCCTCCACCGCTCGGGAGGAGACCCTGATGCGCTTCATCCCCAACCGGTCGTCACCATGGTAGGTCGCACAAGCGCGCGTGCTGGCGAACCCGGCCATGGCACCGTTGCTTCCTTCTCCGGCATCTCGCGAGGAAGCACGAGAGGACGCGGACCCAGCCCTGGCGCCGAAGCAGCCGACTCCGGCCTCGCGCGAGCGAGGGCGAGGGGGCGCAGCTACGCGAGCCGCTGCAGACCTGTTGCAGGAGCAGGCGCAGACCGCAGAGCAGCCAGCCGCTGGCGGCGCTTCAACGCACAGGCGCGAGCTCCACCACTCCCGACCTGCCGCTTCTTTTGTCTGGGATGTAGGTGACCTTGACGGCACTGCTATGGAAGTTGTAGCTGACCACACCTCTGCCTTGGCTCGAACTAGATGGGAGCGGCACCATGCCGCCCACACGGCCAGGGAGCAAGCAAGGAAGAAGCATGGAAGGATAGGAAGGCTTTATTGTAGTACTCACCTTGTCGTAATGGAGGAGGCCCAATCCGGCCACCATGGCCGCGAGGAGCCTGCCCACCTCCAAGAACACGAAGGCGAGGAGGACAGTAGTCCTCAGTACACCCTTCCGGGCGCCTTATTCCACTAAGGGAACTACTGGAGGAGAGGGGGGCCGGCCCTCCTACCCTCGTCGCCGGCGAGCACGCCGGAGAAGAAGGGCAGGGGGCGGAGGAAAGCCATTGGGGGCGCTTGCTCACTGGGAGATTCTCGGGCTTAGGGCCTATTTGTTCCAAATAAGTTACCTATTTATAAGTTAAAAAATAAAATAAGTGACTGATTTTGCTAAACACCATTAACTTATAAGTCACCCCTGCTTATAAAAAATAAGTTGGTTCACCATAAGTCACCCTTTTCCGCGTGGGGCACACGCCAAACCCTATCGGTAGCAGCCGCACCACGCGACCTCGTGCCCCTCTCACCCGCAGACCGCCCCTCCCATGCCTCCCTCCCGTTCTCGCCGCCGCCTCCTCCCTCCCAATCTCGCACGAGCCGCCGCCGCCGCAGCCGCTCGCAGCCGCCCGCCACCGTTCCCATTTCCCCACCGTTGGCTACTTCTAGATCTCGGCGCTGCCGCCGCCGCCGCCACCATGGCCGGTAGCAGTTCGAGGAACTTGCTCAACCTTTTCAATGATTCCCAGGCCGGCGACGAGGAAGACGAGTTCTTCGGTGACGGATCATAGGTCGGGAACTACTCCCCGCCGACTGGATTCGTCCATCCGCCCCGTCCGGGCGCAGCCGGATTCTTCAATCCGGCGGCGGCTGGCGTCGTCCCCCGACGACGGCGGCTGAGTCCTCCCTCCGCTCTGGTGGATTCAGCGCACCGCCCGCTCCTCCCTTCATGGATCCGCCCGCGCCGGAGGGCCTGGACCTCAACTCCTAGGCGGCGGCGTTTCCCGGCCTGGGCGACTACCAGCACGTGCTACAGTCGACGAGGCCCCTGCCCGTCGACGTAGCGGCAAGCATGTTGTGGCGACGCATGGTCGCGGCAGATCTGCGGGACGAGGTGCAGGTGGTCGTGGATCCACGTCCAACGCCGGCATCCCTCATCGTCCGGCGAGGTCAGGGGCTGCGCGCGGTGGTGGAGGTGTTGCGCGCGCTAGGTCCTTGACCAATGCCGCGCGCGCACAAAGTGCAAGCCGCATCGACGTGGACGATGACGAGGAGTGCTTCTACGGGAGCAGGTCCATGGCGGCCGATGGCTCCAACATGCTCCTGAACTCTGATGAGGAGGAAGACGACTCCAATGAGGTAACATTTGCAGCATTGATGTGTTTCACAATTGCAATGTAGGTCATAGTATCGTTTTGTAATCGAGTTGCAATGCATTACAGCGTGGATTTGATACTGCTAAATGGAATGAACAAAGGCTAGAACTTTTTTTAAAATTAGTCGTGCGCGAGATTAGTGCCGGGAATCGCCCGAAAAATCAAATGATGTGAACTATTTGTGTCAAGTGATGTGAACTATTTGTGTTCAGTGAAGTATGGATGTCATGAGTAATATTTGTGAGCATGTTTTGAATTGGTGTGAACTTGTGCATATGAGCCACCCTATTCTGTCACTTATGGGTACTAATTTGATGCTGCATATTTGTTTGTAGCACTGGATTGCTGCCACCATGGACCAGTGGGCAGAGGAGGATGAAGAAGAGGAGGAAGAGGAGGCCGCAACAGCAAAGCGGAGGAAGAATTTGATATTCAGCGCTGCAGAACTCATTGGTACGTACCACCTTGAGAACATGGCAAATAGAAAAGAGTACCGACAAGCTAAAGAGAGTGGATATGATTGGGTCATCCGAACACTAGGGCATAGTACTGAATGTTACAACATATTTAGAATGGAAAGGGCAGTGTTTGATAGCCTGCACAATTTACTAGTGCAATCATATGGATTGAGGTCGACTAGGAGGATGTCATCAGTGGAATCTTTAGCAATGTTTTTATGGATGGTTGGTGCCCCTCAATCTATTCGGCAGGCTGAAAATCGTTTTGTTAGATCAATGGAGACACTTCATAGGAAGTTTGATAAACTGTTGGAATGTTTGATTAAGTTGGCAGGAGACATAATTCGGCCACTAGATCCAGAGTTTAGGACATCTCATCCAAGAGTGTGAAATCCAATGTTTGCTCCGTTCTTTGACAATTGCATTGGAGCCATTGATGGAACACATATAGAGGTGGCCGTGCCAAAGACAGAGCTCATCACACACATGAACCGAAAATTAAAGACCAGTCAGAATGTGCTAGCAATTTGTGATTTTGACTTGAGATTCACCTTTATCGTTGCTGGGTGGCCTAGGTCGGTTCATGACATGAGGGTATTCAAGGCAGCACTTGACAAATTTGGAAGCCTCTTCCCCAAGGTAAATTTGGATTTTGATAAACATTTCTTTGATCAATTCGATGATTGCCACTTTTCTAACAGTTAACATTAACATTGTAGGGAAGTTTTATGTGGTGGACTCGGGTTTCTCTAACCAGCCTGGTTATCTTGCACCGTAAAAAGGTACAAAGTACCATTTCCAGGAGTACAACCAAGGTCCACCACCAAGAGGTAAAAAACAAACCTTTAATCATAGACATTCCCAAATTCGCAATGCAATAGAGCATTCCTTTGGTGTACTGAAGAACAAGTGGAGGATTTTGTTACACATGCCCTCTTATCCACCGCCAAAACAAAGTCAAATTATTTCAGCATGCATGGCTATACATAATTACATTAGAGAGACTAAATTGGAGGATAGAGATTTCCAAGAGTGTGATGATGATGAGGAGTTCATTCGTCACACGCACAGGTTCACAACAGCTTCCATAAGAAAAACAGACGAGTGCGCGCGACGCCAGGCACGGGGGGCAAAACTGTAAAGCGTCATCATCTCCAGGCAAACATGGGATTAGCACACAAATGACTATACACAGGGAAACCATCACAGGCGAGCGAACGGACACAGATCGTTTGCCCACTCCTACTTCTGCCACTAGGACGAACTGGCACCAGCGGCTGCTAGCACTTTCCTCTCGAGCTCAGGTTTGTTCGCGCCGACAAGCTTGTCGATCTGCTGCCCGTTCTTGAGGAAGAAGAATGTCGGCGTTGCGCGGATGTCCCATGACGAGCTGAAGTCCTGGTGATGAATAGTCTCTAAAAGAATTAGATGAATTGGGCTGATGAAAGCATCGGGCCAACTGTCAAACAAGAGCTATCAGGATGGAAATATACTTCCTACCACTTGAGTAAAGTGTCATGTAACATAAAAACTGATAGCATGTTTTGGCTCAACCACTATAAGTACAGCACTTATCTACAAAATTGATGTTCCATCCTTAGAATCTTTAACTCAAAGAAACTGTAACTGTAGATAGACTTATCCTGGCCTACTTTAAAACTTTCGCAGTAATTCTCATGGTGATTCTCATTCTCAGTTGAAAGCAAAAGTGAACATTTTGAGTGCACCTAGGTTATTCAATGTGGCTGAAACATAGAGCAATCTGCCCAAACAACCTTGAGGAATTTAATGCAAGAACCTAGCAGGATCAACAGGCAAAATAATAATACCAATACAGCATCAAGACTAGATGCATTGCTTGATTACAAAGAAGTCCAAGCCATGTATATTTCCAAGAACTGATTCGACATATGTAAGATTGAATTACCGTCAGGTCATCAACGTCTATTGTCAAGAACATGAGTTGAGGATAAGTCTTTGACATCTCAGCATAGACAGGAGCAATGACACGGCATGGCCCACACCAGGAAGCACTGAAATTTGCCACAACCTACAAAAATAAACAGGTGAGTCTAACAAATATAATTCTACAACTTGTACTGCAAATTCTCATCTGCTAGTTCACATAACAAAGTGGCCTTACAAGAAATCAGGAGTTCAGACTTCAGAGGTCTAAACAAACTAAAAAGTTCAAGAACACCATAAGATGGCTGTAATAAAATGATATGGTTCAATTTTATAGGATGACCATGCTAGCAGAAGTTCCAGTTCATAAATTAGCAAATACTCCATGCGCTCCAGCATATTATTCAGAAGAGTTCAGGCTTTACAAGTCAGAACAAAAGTAGAATTTCAAGACCAGAGGTGCCTCTTAGAAACTGAAATAGTGCTTTTTGTTGGATTACCATGCATGCCAAAGTTCTAGCACATAACTTTTAAAAGTTCTCAACCAGAAGTTTTCTGAAAGATATGAATTAGTGAATCATGTTCAGACAACAAAAGCAGCAGGAAACCAACTTTTTGTGGACAATTTTGTAACTTGTTAACTGGCTATTGGGCTATTGGAAGCATGAGCTTTATCATCTCATCCACACCTCAAACTCTCAAAGTTTTTCATTTAACAAATTGGCCACGATTGATACTAGGCAGTTTATGCAGGCTGATTTCTTGAACCTATTAGCTCCATAGCAAAGCACCCACAATGCAAAGTGATAGAATTAAACACCATGTAATGTGTAACCAAAATCACAATACACGAAGGACATCTCCAGTCCTTTAACTTTTACTTACGGTTTTCCCATCTCTGTTTGCTTCTGCAATCTTCTGCTCCCAGCCCTCTTTAGTTGTTATAAGATGCACGTTTCCACCTTTGAAATTGAGCCTGTCTTCGTCGTCATCATGACGTGCCTGAACAAAGATGAAAAAAGTTTTTAACTTCCAAGGAAAAACACTTGCACTTTCAAGATTGGTATCCTTTGAGAAGGCTCACCTTTCCCGCACAGCCTCCCATTGCGCACTCCAATCAACAAAGCTAACACACCAGCGAACAAAATACTGCCAGAATAATGGCATACCAGTCAACTTGTATCCAAAAGGAATCACAATGTTCTGATAAACACTGAATTTGAATGAGGTACATTATTCATCGAAAATTGGGCAAACAGTATGCCATAACTGATAAGTGCCATGGAGTGTGAAAAATGATAAACTAGTGGTAAACTGCAAGGAAAGGAAGACACTACGACACCTATGTTGCCCATAACAGGCCAGTAATTGTTCTAACATTCAGCAATTATGCTGCTAGCATATCTGAAAACATCGTCTATGGACATATCAACATGACAAAGCACAATGAAGCATTTTTCTTGTGAATTTCACAAAATTTGTGACAACCCACCCCAGCTAAATCCCTGAAACCTCCCGGAAAATATAGAGCAGCTTAAGAGCCTCGGCAAGGCGGACAACAAAAACGACCACCACGCGCTTCCACGAAGCATTTCCTTGTGACAACCCACCGCAGCTAAATTCCCGAAACCTCCCATCATCTCGGTAAGCAAGGCCGTATTGTTCGAGACGAAGAGTCGCAATCTTTGGATACCCCCGCACGGGACCCCAATTTGTCTCTAAACGGATCCGCCAGAAGCCGCACCGTAACCATGGGATCGAATCAGCGATCAACCAAGCAAGCAAAGGATTACCTGAGAACAGAGCAGGAAATCCGGCCGGCCAGGGGAGCCGGCGCCAATTCCGGACCAGCGCCGAGGGCAGGGATCTGATTCGCCGGTGCCGCAGCAGCCGCCGCCGCCCGTGTCACGGGATTCCAGGAGAGGAAGAGGAAGGGATGCAGGGAGGAGGCGGAAACGGGGGTGCGGGCGAACCGCGGACGTGGAATTCTAGGCGGCTGGCTCGCGTTTTGTTCTTGGTGGGCACGCGAGACGAAGGCGACGACGAGACGAAGGCGACGACGCGGCGGAGTTGGATGGTTCCGGCCGGCTTCCCGCGTCAGGCCAGGCCCAGGCGTGACCCCACCCCGCCCCGCGTCGCACCGGCCACCGTTGCCTCTCCTTTTCCGCCTGCGAATTTTGCTTCCGTTACCCTTTTAGCCTCTTTCTTTTTTTTTTAAGGAAAATGAAACATTGTTTTTATGGAGAAATTTAGATATCTAACCCGTTATTCGCATGCCTCTCATAGTATAACCCTCAATTCGCATGTCTTTGGAAAAATGACCCATATCCTGCGAATTGTTTTGAAATTTAATCTTTTCAAGGATTTCTCTATTTCTGTAATTTCAAAAATCATCTTTCACTGTTTGGGACGGGAGAAAAGACATCATTACCCCTCTCTTGTTTCTGTTTTGTTCCCGTTCGCTGGGGCCTGGACTCGACTCGCAGGAGCATGAGTCGCGAGCGCCGCGACGGACTCCCACGCGCTGCGGCGTCTGCGAGCTGCTCGCCGCTGGTCAGGTCCGGTCGCCGCCCGCCGGCCACGGCCAGCGCCCGCGCCCGCTCCCTCCTCCCGCTGCTCCTCCTCCTCGCACCTCCCTGCAGTTCCTCCTCCCGCTGGCAGCTGCGCCTCCTCCTCTCGGCAAGGAAGCTAGGGTTAGAGGGGGTTTGCGGCGTCCACCACCGGGCCGGCCCCTGCGCCGTCCATTGGACTGTGACTGAAGGGGCTGCGACCTCCACCTGCTCCATGGCTCAAGGGTAAGAGCCCCAATCTCCTCCCTCTGTACTGTATGTTTAGGGTTCCTGTTGATTTGGGGGCACAATCTAAATTGTGTCTCTTTTATTTTTTGTTGGTAACCGGTAGAATCGATTCGGATCCGGATGGGGAATTTAGGTTGTGTGTTCAGTTTTCTCCGTTCACAGTTAAGTTGGATGATGGCCGCTCTGTTGATATGCTACGTAAATGTGATGAATGGGTTGTTAATTGTCGATTTTATAATCTAGAGATGCTACTCGGAGATTTGGAAGCTAGGGTGAAGTGGGGAAGCGGGCAGCAGCCTGTGATACATGAGTTTGACATGAGTGGTAGTGGAGAGAAGAAGCTGGTGGATGATAAAGACCTGTCACTTGCATTTGCTGAGAAGATGCATGATAAGAAGTTGTTCTTGTTTGTTGATGTCGTGGATAAACCCGCAGAAATATTTTCCAACTCAGCTGTTACAGAGGCAGAGGCTGCTGCAAGTAATGTAGGCCATGACAATGCCACAGAACAAGGAGATTGCGGCAATCCTACAGTTGTTTCTTATCAAATTGACTGGGAGAGTCTGCTGATAACTCCTCTTACAAAAGACCAGATTGGTACTGCACTTCCTGTGATGGATGAGGATGCAATGTATGAGTTTGTTGGCCTTAGAGCAGAGGATGAGAGAGCTGAACATGCTAGGATGGCAGCCCAAAAGGTGACTGAAATTAATCTTGATGATGTGGAGCTACAAGATGCAGACTTGTTGGTTCATGATCATGTACCTGGTGAGGATTCTGTTTTCTGTGACAAAGAAGACCCTCCAATGGAAGTTGGAACAATATATTCTAGTATGGATGAGTTTAGGGCTGCAGTGCGACAGCATGCTATAAAGGGGCAATTTCAGCTTGCAACAAAGAAATCTCGCAAAGATTATTTCAACGGCAAATGCGCTCATGAGGGTTGTTCATGGACTATTTCAGCAAGGTTGATGCGTGATGATCAACAAGTCAGGGTACTAACACTTTTCATATGCAGCACGCTAACACTTTTTATATATATGCATGGCTGTTCCGTCACTTTTCATATGCAGCACGCTAACACTTTCCATATGCAGCACACTAACTGACATGTTTGTTTCAATTTGACAGGTTGCAGTAAATAAAGAAAAGCATTTTTGTCCATCTATTAAAGAATTGATAACCAAGATGGCAAGCTACAAATGGGTAAGAGATAAGGCAATCCCTTTTCTAAAGAAGGATCCAAACATGCTTGCAACAAAACTAAAAAAAGAGTTAGAGGAAAAGTATCAAGTCACAATTGGGTACCCAACTGTGCATCTTGGGAGGGAGAAGGCAAGACAGGAACTTTTTGGCACATGGGAAGATAGTTTTGGTGATTTGTTCAACTTCAAGGCAGTGATTGAGCTCAGAATGCCAGGAAGTGTTGTAGAGATAGATGTTGTGAATACAGAGGAAGGTGTATTTTTCCATAGGTTCTTTTGTTGTATGAAGCCAAGCATTGATGGTTTCTCCATTTTTGAGTATTGATTCTACGTGGTATGGAATGCCTTTGTCCCCGATGACAACTAGATTTTTCATTAGCATCTCTTCACAAATGTGCAGCTTCTTAGACTAGTTTAGGCCCTGCGATCCACCTGATTTTTCAGAACTTCAAATTTTGGGGGAAAAGATTCGTGGCTAATGTTTTGTTTTTTTTTTCAAGGTTCATTTGGGAGAATTTTCGTTTTCAACCGTGTTTGATACTTAAAGAACTGTATACTACAAGAATGTTGAGCCATGGTTAAAAGCCAATCACAAGTTAAAGTCCCAGTCCATGATCAATAAAGTGTGATCATCATTGCATTTGTGAGTTAAGACCTTAAGTACTCTAGGTCCAAATTCATGTATGGTATAAGGGTATGTATTTGATTAAGACATGTAAGCATGCTTTTGTACGCCACCTATATGCAATGAGTTCGTCACTAATGCTACCAATCAGATGTCCGAGAGGTCACCATATTAAGGACTGTATGCACTTGCGGGGAGTGGCAAGTGTCGTAAACGTCCCCTCATCATCACTTGTAGAAATGCTAAGATGGAAGACTACTTGGATCCTTATTATTCAAGGCTCCCTCCTATGGTGGTGTGATCAAACCATTTGCCAGATAAATCTCAGCATTAAAAAACTTGGATTCAAAGTGATGCCACCACTAGATAAGATCAATGGAAAAATAGAAAACCTAGCAGCCTAGAGAACAAGGGAAGCAAGCTACAAAGACATCCTTAAGTGTCCTTGCTTGGGTCTTGGCCATAGCTCTCCAAAGTGCCCTCTTAATGGAACAAAGAAGAGGTAAATGTGTATGCCTTCCATACTCCATCTCACTTATACAGGAAAAGTCGCCCCTGCTGGTTATAGCAAAGGTGATGCAACTCCTAGTCCATCCAAAAGGCGTAAGGTTGTAGTGGCGTAAGGCACAAGTCAACACTAGTCAAAGGAGGCAAAGGTGATTCCGAAAACTAAAATCAACACTAGTCTCTTTTAACCTATTGCAATTAACCTTTCTCATTTTTAGCCAATTGCAACTAACAATGGGGGAACTCAGGACAAATCAAATCACTACAAGCCCCAGGCTGTTGTCGGCTCATTCATTGTGCATCTTATCTCATGTAATCGAACCATCCCATTGACCTATGATATGTAGTGAAACCGAGAAGGGCCAAGTAATACAATGACCACTCAAGGAAGAGTCCAAGGCGAGGCTAGGTCTCAAGAAAAAACTCACTCCAAGGAAGGGGAAGAACATGGATGCTTGAATAATCTTCCTTTAATGTCATGAGACTTTTGTCTCGTTAAGATTCCCGCCATCTTTTGTGCATGTGAACTTGTGGTCCTAAATTGGCCCTCTATTTTGTATGGCTATTTTATGTGAACTATGTGAACTTGTAGTATTGGCTAGTGGCTGAGTTGTTGACATGAACCTGTTTATTAAATGTTTGTGAGAGGTATGTTACAAGTGTTTGCAGATGGATGTTGGTGAAATTGTATGATTTTTATCGGGATGTTATTTACATTTATTTTGTACATATATGTTGATATGTGCAAAATATTAGTCTTTAGGAGCATGGGACTAGCTGAATGTTTACACCATGTGTTTTCTTATATATGTCCTGAATGAGGGAGGGTGTGTTTATCCCTAAATGTTGAGAGCAATTATGTTTAAATTTCAAAACAATTCGGGACATGGGTCATACTTTTAAAGACATGCGAATTGAGGGTTATATTATAAGGCAAATAACGGGTTAGATATCTTTTCTCGTTTTTACGAGGAATTTTTGTGGATTTCCCCGCCTCGACTCCGGGTTCACGTGGATAATGCCTTTGTCCCCGGACCATTAGCATCTCTTCACAAATGTGCAGCTTCTTGTAAGGCCCTGCGCACCTGATTTTGGAACTTCAAATTTTGGGGGGAAAAGACGTGGCTATTGTGTTTTTTTTTTCGTTCATATTTTCGTTTGTGTTTATTTAAACAACTACTACTACCAGGGCCACCATGATCCCAGTCCATGATCGCTGTTCATTGCATTGCCACCGGTCAAGAGTTAAGAAGTACTCTACATTTGTATGGTATATGGGTATGTATTTGATTAAGAAAGCATGCTTTTAAGTTCGTAATGTTTTTTATTTGAATGTTGTGGACACGACGTTCAGAAGGCTATCTATCCTATCCATTCCTATCCGCTCCTCTACAAATATGTTCCAAATATTTCATTTATTTTCCTCTCCACCGCGCCTCCCGCCGGCCTTCCTCTCCACCATATGTTGCCACACGTCAAGTCCCCATGCGCAAGTTCACACCCAAGTGTTTCGGCTCCATGAGGCGGGCACCGCGGCGCGAGGGGCGCCACCACTCGGGCGGCGCCGCCTCCATGCGCCTTCTCCTCCTTCTACACCGCAACTACAGAGCCGGATCCCCTGTGTAGTGCTTCGCCCTCCCGGCTGTCAGGTTTTGCTGAAAGCGCATATTGCAAGTGTATGTTTCAAGTGTTTCAGATGTTTTAGAGGTATGTTACAAGTGTTTCAGATAGATGTTGGAAAAGTAGATCGGGATGTTGCATATGGTTGTACACATATGTTGCAAAGGTCTGTTACCAATGTTTCATATGTGTTTTCTTATATATGTCGCAAGTGTGTTTATCTAGATGTTGCATATGTTTTATCTGGGTGTTGCGTACGTTTGCAAATGTTTTCAGGAATTTTTTCAAGTGTTATAGAAACATGTTGCAAGTGTGTGTTTCAAATGTTTCAGTTGTTTCAGATATATGTTGCAAGTGTTTATTTGAATGTTGCATATGTTGCAAGTTTTTTATTTGAATGTTGCATATGTTGCGCATATGTTGCAACAAGTCCTCCATGTTGCAACCACCGACGTGGGGGACCCATCATAGGGCGAAAGTGGGGGGCAGAGCATGGCATGCATTGCTGACGCAGGCGTTTCATTAGCAGTATGCGGGCATCCATTTTGACGAGGAGGGCGGTGCATGTGGGCCGCTGGCGTCGCATGTGGGGGCAACCAGAGGGAGCGCGTGGGAGACAACCACCCGACGTGGGACCCATCACAGAGGCAGGGGCAGCTGAGCATTGCCGTTTTCTACCGATCCATTTTGATCGCTGGTGGGCCCATCTGACAGCCTAGGGAGGTGTGCTCAACTGGCTGTTTGGGCGCACGTCCGCTAGTGTGCAGGGGCAAGTGCACCGCATGGGCTGCACGGGCAAGCATGCACTGGGCTGAGCGGCGGGCGTGGCACGGACGTCCGGACGCGCACTTTTGTTCGGACGTCCAGGCGCTAGTAAGCCCCTTTTAAGTTTTAACCACAAGCACCTTACGATGGTGTGTATTCCCTAGTACATTTGGATTTAAGTCACTTAGAAAGGTGGAAATGACATGTGCTTGATGTTTGGATTTTGATTTAATAGCATCTCTAGCAGTATTCTAGTAATCTATCCT